CTTGGGCACTTTATATTTATGAGCTGTGTGACCACGGGCAAAGCACTTAATCTCACCTAGTCTGTGAAATGAGAACAAACATAACATCTAACATTTGTTGGTTGCTTTTCATGTGCTGGGCACGGTGCTAATTATGTCACATGCATTCATTATCTCATTTCATCCTCGAAATAATCCCAGGAGGAAGGTACTATTAATATCCTCATTTTGCAAATGAAGAAACTGAGACTCAGAAAGGTGAAGTAATTTGTCCAAAATCATAGAGTGATTGTAACTCACTGTAACTCATACCATGCCTATCTGGCTCTAGAGATCAAGTATGTAAGTACTGTGTTGCTGTGGTGGTAACTCTTCTTATAGGGTAAGTTGTGACAATTAAATGAGATACTGCACATAAAGAGCATGCCTGACACAGAGTAGTGCTCTTATTGTTACAGATTTTTTACCTATTACTGGCTAAAATTTGTAGAGTGCTTTACTCTTTATAAAGCCTATTGACACAGTAACTCATTACTTCATGATACCTTGCAAGGTATGAACCATGTGGCTCAGAAAGGTTAAAAGCCTTGGACAAGGTCATTTAGTTTATAAATACATCACACTGGGACTCATATCTTTTAATTCCAGAATCCAGTAACTTCACTCTGCCTTTTAATCATGGCGGGGTGGGGAGGTGGCAGGGGCGGGGAGGTAGCTATATTTTTATGTAGTGTAATTTATTTAATTTATTATTGGGAGAAGTGGCTATTTTTAGATCATGTGTTATTTAAAAACCATGTCTTAAATGGAACTTAAGCCCCATAGTGACCCCATAGAAACCTATTGTGAGCATGTGCCAGATGCAGGCAAAGGGAAATGTGGAGGAAGATGAAGCCAGGATCCTTCTTCCTTTATTTTTTTTATTTTTATTATATTTTAAGATTTTATTTTTAAGTAATTGCCACACCCAATGTGGGACTCTGACTTAGAACCTTGAGATCAACAGTTGCATGCTCTACTGACCAAACCAGCCAGGCGTCCTCATCCTTCATCCTTTAATTCCAGACTTGCCCCCATACAATTTTTTTTAAAGATTTAAAAAATTTATTTATTCATGAGAGACACAGAAAGAGAGGTAGAGACACAGGCAGAGGAAGAAGCAGATTCCCTGAGGGGAGCCCAATGCAGGACTCGATCCCAGGATCCAGGGATCACGACCTGAGCTGAAGGCAGATGCTCAACTGCTGAGCCACCCAGGTGTTCCGCCCCAGTACAGTTTTGAAGCTATTTCCCTTTATTATGTCCCTACCTTTTCATAGTTTATGCCATCTCCATAGTTTATGCCATAAGGGGTGCCCCCTTATCTTCTCTTCAGTCCCCACATCAGGCCTGCCTTACATCAAGACTCCTCTCAATTCTAAAACTATCTACTGGCTTCCCCTTTTCACTTCACTCTGTAACCTAAGTGATTTTTTTTTATATGAATTAGGTATTCAGAGGAAAGTAGCTTGATGAAATAATTCACACTAATGTATGAGTGGCTGATTTTCCTTATCCCCTCTAGAGGCATTTGCTTTTTTAAAAGATTGTTAATATTGCAAGTGTATTTGTCATTGTTGGGAATTCCAGCAGCGAAACAAAATAAAGTGAAAAATAGCTATGACGTGAAAGGTATTTTTGAAGAGATGTGCTATAATTTGAGTAGACCGCCCAGTGAGGGCCTTTCTTGCTCTATCCCTTTACGCCATGACCCTCTCCAGCACACATACACACGCACACATCCAAACACACATCTCATCAGCTACCTTGGCTTTTAATCTTTACTCCATCAACTGGACACTTACCAGAATGATAGCATTTTCGTTCTGGTGAGGGTGCTAGGTCTATCAGCTAATTTTATAATTGAGGAAACAAAGCTCGGCCAGAAGAGCCTGGTTCACATCCCCATGAGTGGTAGACTGCCACCAGAATCCAGGTCTACCCAAGGATTCAGGGCATCTTCTTCCACTCCACACTTAGCATTCAGAAGTCTCATAAAGTACACTGAGAAACACTCCTGCAGTAACCTCGATCACTTATCCACTTGAATTTTCTTTTCTTCCCTCTTTGGACTTGGCAGGTAGAAGCCCTCAGTGCTGGAGGCAAGAGAGTCTGACTTGGTGTTCCTCCCAACATGTTCTGACCTGGAGGCTGGGGAAGCGCCTTCCTCTGCCAGGTGGGACTAAGGAGGAATTAGAGACTTGGGGCTATTTGGGGGCCTGGCACATGCTTCTTCAGTAGCCCCTTGTGGAGATGCCATGTGAAGACACTAGGATTATTATTGCCCCGCTCTTCTTTCTCTCACTGAACATTTAGATTTTCTCTCTCATGATTGGAAGGGCTCCCTGCTCCCTCCCACCACCACAGAGCTGGGGCAGATGGGTAGGTGGGGGGAGAGCCTGGTCTCTGGAGAGGCAGGCTGCCTGAGGCCCATCTCAGCCAGCACTTCCTGCCTGAGTGAACTTGGCACTTTGCCAGACCTCTGTGTCTCAGCTTCTTCATCCAGAAAATGGGAGCAGTAACAGTTTATACCTTATGGGGTTGTTTACTAGATGGAGGAGCTTAATAAATGTCACCAGCTGTTATCATCATCATTATCATCAACACCTTATGGGTGTTTTTAGTCCACTTTTATTTTTTTAAGGAAGGGAAGCCTTCCTGGCCTCAGCTGCCTTTCTCCATTGCCCAGCAATCTCTAAATCGTGTGGTTACTAAAGGTTAAGTTGACCCTTCATGCAAGAAGGCCTCATTGTGTATAGTGAATCACCGTCACTTAGAAGTGGTCGTCACTTAGAAGTGGTCGGTGAGTCAGCAGTTATTAGGGGGAGGTCAGAAGGTTCCCTGGCTCAAAGTGAGAGGACCCAAACAGCAGCCCTGAGGTATAGAAGGAAAACATCCATTTGTATGGCGAGTGGGGTATTATGGAGAACCGAGCTATGCAGGTCAGAGGACATAAGGCGATGGGTAAATGCTGGAGCTTTGGAATCACACAGATCTGAGTCTGACTTCAGCTCTACCCTCACCTTGCTGTGTGACCTCAGGAAATTTATTTAATCTCTCTGTGCCTCACTTTTTATCATCTGTAAACGGAGATGGTCTTAATAGAAATGACTTCATGGTATAAATGTTTGGGAAAGCGCTAAAAATTAAGTAAATACTCAATCAAAAGTAGTTACTCTTCTCACAATCAGCAAGAATTAGAGTCAGGATAGACAGTTTTAGGGATCAGCATAATGGATAAGCAAACCAAGGTGTAAAGGCAGCAGGAACAAAGATGTATCTTTGATGTGGCGACTGTTAGCTACAAGACATTTAGCTAGTATTAAGGGTAAAAAGTCATAATTTATTCCCTGTTGCACCCCTATGAGGGAGTGTTGTGTGTTCACATAATTTGCATTTTGTAGAAGATTCTGAGAAATAGACTCTAAGCTACCTTTCTGCAAGAATACAGGTCTGGTTTAGCTCCAGTGAGGAGTTAAGCTTCCCTTCAGGTTCTGCAGGTAAAGGGGCAACTTCCGGCCTGGGCAGGGGAGACCTTGTCAGGCTGTGACCCCACAACGTGCTAAAAATATGAATGCCACATTATCATCCTGTCCTTCCTGATCTCAACTGGCCTTCCTGATTTCATGCCATCTGCAAATTTGCACATCCTTTGTGTTCCTTTTTGCTCACATTTTATGCTTTCCTTTGCCTTCTCATTCCCCCCCTGCATGTTTCAATCTCTGGGCTTCCATTTTTCTTCTTCTTCTTTTAAAAATGTGGTGTTTTTTTTTTTTTTTTCTCTCTGTCTCTCTTCCCTCCTTTATACCCCCACCTTCCTCCTCTCTCCACACCAATCAAATTCCTGCTTGCTTCATGCCATATTCATTATCCTACCTCATTCCCCCTCATTCCTAGAAAACAGCTCGGTGGAGACTCATTCACCCTCCCCCTGCAACTCACAGTGCCCACCCTCCATAAATTCCAGCCGCCTGGCAATCAGTAACTTCAGCATCACACTTCACAGCTCTCAGAGTTTACACTACTTGTTACTACTCTCCTTGCTACTGCTCTCTAGGGTTTCTGGGGGAAAAAAACCCGCTTTAAAAATATCCTGGGTACAAGTTGAACCCACAGTTAAAGTTTACTCGCACATTCACACATTTCATGGATTTATTTTAACTAGTAGCTCAGGTCTCTGCTCAATTATGCAGTGAAGAAAGCCTGGAGCCTGGGGAAACCAGTTTTTCTCTACTCTGGAGAAGAAAGGCACCTAAGGATGCAACAGAAACCCCAGGGCTGGATTCACCTTCTCTCTTATCTCCCAGCTCCCCCAACCTCAAGCTGATGGGATCTTGCTGTTGCGTTTGGGGTCATTTATTTAGCTCTCCCTGGAGCTCAGGCTGCCCCCCCGGGTGCGTATGTGTGCACACGTGTGTGGCCACTGCTGTTTTTCCAAAGGGCTCACCTCTCTTCTGCCATTTTACCAGGACACAGGAGGCTCCCCCGCTCTCCCGCTCGCTCCCTCTCCCTCTCTCTCCCTGCCCCCAACTCAGCCCAGGCTTTTTCCTGTCTCTTAACTCCACCAGTGCAGCAACTAGCTGAGCTGCTTGGGCGCGCGCGCGCGTGTATGTGTGTGTGTGTGTGTGTGTGTGTGTGAGAGAGAGAGAGAGAGAGAGAGAGAGAGAGAGAGAGGGAGTGAGTGTGTGTGTGTGTGTGTGTGTGTGTGTCTGCGTGCGCAGCTAGGCCGAGCCTGTGAGCCTGCCTGTCACCGGAGAGTTTTAGTTTGCATTCAGAAGAAAGGAGGAGGGGAGACGGGGGGGGGGGGAGGAAAGGGGGAGGGGGAGGAGTGGGGGGGGCGCCGCCGAGAAGGGAGGGAGAATGTCTTGTTTGTGGCTTGTCAGCAATTGCTTGAGACAAGCTTCCATGTGTGAAAGCTACTTGGCATGAATGCCTGGGCCGTACCAAGTGTCACCGCAGCAAGAGGGGGAGTCAGAAGAAAAACAGATCAGACCAGAGCAGACAATAGGCCCCTAAAGTCTTCCCCCTAAGTTGCTTTGATGTTGTCCTAGTGTCTTGATACCAGGAGGCCAGGGATTGCAGGAAAAGGGTCTTTTTTGTCTTCATTCACTTTCCCCCCTCAGTTTGTGACATGATTCTCCAGAATTTCTCCTCATAAAAAAGGTAAGAGCCCGAACAATCCCTTCCTCGGTGGCAGGCTCGTTCGCCGGTGCCTGGAAGTGGGGGTCTCATTCCTGCGCGGCTCAGGAGCAGCGCCCGGGTCCTGCCGCCGGAGCCGTGGCGCGGCCCCTGGAAGTCCTGCGAGGCGCGCGGGGCTGGGGACGGCCCCTCTTTCCAGGGAACCCCGGGAACACGATCCGTGCCTCCGGGTTGGGGGGGAGACGGGGAGGATGGAGAGGGGTGGGAGGAGGGTGTGAGGGTGGAGGTGTGAGGGGGAGAAAGACGGAGCGGGAGAGAAGCCCGGAGGAGAGGGAGAGCGGGGCCGAGCCCGGGCTCGGAGCACCCGCAGCCTGGAGCCCTCGGAGGCCTCGCCCGCTCGGGGCTGCGGGTCTGAGGCTGAGCGAGGGCTGGCCGGGCTCCGCCGGGCGCCTGCACAGATTGCAGCGAGCTTTGTGTGTGTGAAGGTCTGTGCGCGCGCGCGCGCGCGTGTGCTTCCCCCGCACTGCCCTGGCGCGCCCGGTGAAGGGGAGGCACCCCGGTCCTTACCACCCCGAGCCGGACTCCCAGGCGGAGCGGACAGGCAGGCGAGATGGGAGAGCAAGAGAACTCTGCCGCAACGCAATCCAGAAACTTTTCCAGTCTCAGGGATTTCTCTGCTGATAGATACTGTAAAGGAGTTGTGTGCTGGGGGGTGGAGGCGGTGGAAGGGGGCGAGGGGGGGCGGTGCCTCAGTTTCCCCGTCTGTACAATCCAGAGAGCCGAGCGGGGATGCTGCATGTCTGCCTGGGATTTGGCGAAACAGAACAGATCCTTATGTCTAACAGGCGTGGAGAAATCTTCAAGCTAGAGATACTGTGGAATCACCAAGTACAAGTGTTATCATTATTCTTGGTCATCATCATCATCATCAAACCATCATTAAAGACACCCCGAGACAAAAAAAAAAAAAACCGGGGAACACAGATCAAGTGTCTGAGCATTTCTAAGGAAACAAAAAGCCTTTTTCCACCTGTTGGCTTCTGTCCTTTTCCCTTGTGTCTTTTCGTTAGATTTATTGGCCGATTTGTACAGAGAATGGGGTGGGAGGGATTGGGTTTTCCCCTTTCCTCCTCCCTTGTACATATATATATTTTTTTTAAAGAAGGTCAGTGTAAGATGCTTGAAAGAGAAAATGTGCCTCCTGTTATAGTAGTTTATTCAAGTCCTTGTGTTTTCTGCCGCTGGCAGGGCTTGCAAACACATCTGTAAACTCTACCTTGGAGGTTAAAGATTTTTATTGTGGCTTTTAGAGATTAAATGAGATTTATTTACAATTGCTGTTTATCAGAGAGTAAATATCTTACTGTGTGTGTGAGGGTAAGAATGTGAAGGCTCTTTACTCACTGGTGGTTTTGTGGATAAAACCTTTTGCTTTTTAAAGTGACATCTTGAGAGATGGGAATAGAAGGCTAAAATCAGTGCCTAATACTCTAAATTTTTTTAAAGAAAAAATGTCTGCTTATTTTCTTAAACTGTGGATTTCCCCTCTTCTCTTCTTACACGGTGATTGCTTCAAGGCTGTTAGTTGTAGCTCTCTGAATTCTCTGGGGGAATTTCGCTTTCTTACCTAATTCCAGGTTTGCTGTGACTCTGCTAGTTGTCCAAAAAAATCTGCAAAAGTCTGGGAGGCTGTGCCTCCTTCCATTCTAACTGCAAATGTTCATCAGACTGACTCCCTGTTACAGCTAGAGATTGAAGCAAAGGGCCAGCCCTGGTTGGGAATATTTATGTTCTTCCGTTGGAAGCCCGGAGAACCTGACTTCTGGGTATGAGAAAGGATGAAGGCAAGATATTAATTGGCCAGGATCTGGCAAGAAGCACCCTCCACACACACACGTAATGATTTGTTGGAATAGAACTGAACTTCATATTTTAAAACTTAATTTTTTTTTCCCACTTTGTAAGCAGAAGATCTTACCATGGTTTGTCTCTGACAAGATTTCAGGTTCTGGATGTCTTCCTAAAATGTTACAATTTCAGAAGTGCAAGGAAAAGAAAGGTTATTCATCAAGTTTTAAATGAGGACACCGAAGCCCCAGAAAGACCAGCAGTGATCTGAGGGGCTCAGTGCAGCTGTGGTAACATCCAGACCACACCCTGGGGTGTGAGTACTCCGAGGGTTGTCATGCCAGCACCCTTACCTGGCTTCCACACTACATCTTGTACAGCCTAGCACTTGGGCCTGCCAAAAAGACAGGCACCTTTTGAAATCTGCTTGTTGTGCTGGACTATGTAGCTGTACATTCAGCCCTGCTTGTGACACATGGAGCAAACATGGCAGCCACGTGTCACAGCATGAGTTCGTGTGAACTCATTCATGTATTCACCAGCTTATTCAAGTGATGTTTTAGGGGCTATTAACTATGCACCCACCACCTTGCTGGGCACTGAGGACATAGGAAAGAACAAGGCAGACGTGCCCTTGCTTTCAGGGAGTGTAGCATCTCGGTGGTGTAATCAACATTAACCACATAGTTAAATTAGTAATAATAATAACGATAATTTACACTGAACAGCATGCAGATACTATAATAGGACAGAGGGGCAGCCCCGGTGGCGCAGCGGTTTAGCGCCGCCTGCGGCCCAGGGTGAGATCCTGGAGACCCTGGATCTAGTCCCACGTCGGGCTCCCTGCATGGAGCCTGCTTCTCCCTCTGCCTGTGTCTCTGTCTCTCTCTCTCTCGCTCTGTATCTCTCATGAGTAAATAAAACAAAATCTTTAAAATATATATATAATAGGACAGAACATAAAGTTGTATAAGTGATTGTCCTAAATTTGTAACTAGGTGTAAGCTCACTGTCCTTTTCCTCTTAGCACATTGCTGTCCCAGCCAACACCCATTCCCCTAGAGGCGTTCCTACTCACGTAGAGGCCCAGTGTTTCTAAAGACAGTAAACAGCCCCCCCCCACTTCTTCACACAAGGCAACGGAGACACAAATAGTAACTATTAACCCTTTACACTTGTACTATTAAATAACTCCACATACCTTATAAGTTGGCTTCTGGAGCAGTCATCTGGGTGATTCACATTAGCTCTAGCCTTTGCACATTGTGAAACTCTAATGGGTATTGGAAGAGTCGTGGTTAGTGAGGCTCTTGTCTCATTTCACTTACTCCTTAGTTTCTCCAGTTGTTACTAAACACTTAGCTGCAGGAAACCCCACCATTATCACTGTCATCTTGAAATTCCAAAGACAATAGTGTAGTAAAGGGCTTTTCCCATTTCTCCTAACAAGGACACATTATCTATAAAGGGGGAAAAAATTACAGCCTCTTAATCTTACCACAGTCCCATTTTGTTTGGGTTGTTAAAATCTTACTGGTTTGATCTCCCAAAGTAGGAGCATCCTCCATCCTCATTTTGGTCTTGGATGGAGAGAAGGTATGGTGGAAATGCCGGGAGTTTCCATGCTGGTTGATTTGTGTTCATGCTTGTATCATCATTTTCTACATTGTGTGTTTCCCTAGTACTCAAAGGAGAATTGTCTTCAGTGGTGTCAAGCTATCTTTTTTTTTTTTTTTCTAGACTAATTTAGTAGTTTAAAGGGAAGACAGACATGCCCACCTACACAGAAATCATAGGTTTGGTGCCTATACTTTGGGAACCTACACAGGTCGTGTGGTTAAATCGTGTGATGAGCAAAGTAAGAGTCATTTCTATGTACCCAACGTTGTTACTCAGTGCAGTAGCGGCCCACATTGTAGCAACAGCCCTACCCAGAGCTTGCCATAGTCCTCTGCATTTGGCACCTGTGGCCACTGCCTTCTCCTGTGAGCTGTATGACTTCATTTGCAAGTATTTGATCATTTCCGACGCACTCTGCCCAACCCCCAATGTGTTACTCACTGGGGCGCTGCCTCTGGGGGAGGCAATCTGAGTCGGCTTCTTCAGAAGAGCAATCCGAAGAGAGGAGTGATCCAGGAGTGATCCGAGTGGGGGAAGCTAAGATGTGGATAAAACAAGGATCTGGTGGAGGGAGAAATTGAACCAGCTGGGGAGCCAGACAGCAGCAATCAGGTCATCTTTAATTCTGGGGGAATAAAAATGAAGACTGATCACATTTTAAAAGGTGCATTTTGTGGATTCTGTGTGTAAATAAAAGTGGAAGAGCCCCTAGTCCTGTTGAAGGTAAAACCAACACAACATGTAGAACATCCCCCAAACTTCTTGGTTACAAATACGGCTTTTGCATGTAGGTCTAGTGAAAAGAATTGTGTGTGTGTATGTGAATGTGTGTGTTTCCCCCCAAGAGACATAAATATATCTTATATTTAAAATGGAAATTTTCTCCATTTCTTTTAAGCCCTGACATTTTAGTGCACTTTAAAATATCTGCTCAGTCCTCTCTTATAATAGCCCTGTGAATTAAGTAATATCGTTATCCTTCTGTTATATTTGAGTAAGATTATGTGACTCACCCAAGGACTCACGAGAAAATAAGGGGCAGGATGGCTTGATATTCTAGCCAAATTTATTCTTTTCTTTAAACACTTAGGATTTAGAGTGTCAATCAAAAAAAGAAGGGTCCCCAATTCTAGTTTAATCATTACATGTTTTTTACAAGTGCATTGAACAGCTTCTGGTTTTGGTTTTGCCCTTCTATGACCTAGGTCTCCCTATTCTGCTCCTCTGGACCTCTTTCAGAATGAGGGGCTGAGCTACATCATTTCTGTTTCCTTCCTGTAATTCTGCATTTCTCTAACTCTTTGAATAGAATGTTCCATGGATCTGGTCTTTTGGTCACCTTATACAAAGCCCAGTTCAAGAAACTGTGATTCCCAGAGGGGAGATGTTGTAAGTTTATATGTGTAGGGGATTCGTTCTTATATATCCGAACTATGTTGGCATTTTGAAGTGAAAAGCACAATAGGCAAAAGTGGGATTTTAATTTATGGATTGGAAAGAATTGGCCAGTCAGCACATAGGCACATGTGCAAGGAGACTAAAGAACCATTTTCAAA